AAGACATAGCATATATGAAATAACGTTCTTAATAACATATTCTGCGTGACTTTAAGACTAATAAGGCATATAATAAGAATTCAGTGAAAGAAAGAGTTCTGTAGTTCGAAGCCAACAGCATTTCTACCGCCAGAAGCAATTCGATGCTTTCCAATATTATCAAGAGAAAAATGACCTAGTTCTCATAATTTAAAATATATCATAATGCAAATGACCGAATATTGATGAAGAAGTATATTTCCACTTTGAGGCTCCTAAAGATGACTTCTGTTGCCAGTGATTTCTAGATGACTCATGTTGATTTTACCATGAAGCTGTACATCTTAGATGTTTTCTCTAGCTTCTTTAACTCAGTTCTCATAGAAACCGATTTTTGAGAGAAAATCTCGTTTAAACACAACGATTTTTGTTAAAACCCTTCTTTGCAAAGACTATAATAATTGAAAACAACTGTGTTTAGGAATCAAACTTTAAGTGAATATAAATATCTATAGACTTTAGCTTCAGAGAAAATTTAAGACCTCTATCTTGTTCTAATCATGAGTTATAAACAACACCAAAGTTGACTAAAATGTGGATTTTTGCCTATATTGGATGAATTATAAGGAATAAGAGCTAGATCTTTTGATTTGAAAACTTTATCCTCAGTAGAACTCATAAAAATGTATATCTACGAGAAACTTCAGCTTAATCGATCAAGCCCTTCTTGATATATGGCCCTGTGAAGCTCCTTCATTGGTTGACATTATCATTTTTAGAGCTTCCAGTCAAACACTCTTGAAAAATCGGAAGTTGAATATTTTTCAAAATAAATTGAGTCAAAAGTCGTAGAACACTTCCTCCTACAGTATAGTTTGAATTGAGCAAAATGTGAAGACTTCGATGAAGGAAGTTCGGTCGTGACTTACGCAGAATGACTGGTAAATGCATTCATTCGAAACCTCGACAGTGCCAGCTATAGTTTTGTCTTTTTGCAATACTGGCTACGATAAATCTTTCTATAAATCTTTAGAATTTTCAGCAAAGAAGTTACCTAGAAACCTTTTACAGAATGATCTAAATATGGTAAAATAATTGACGTGAATAAAAGGAGAAAAAAACGAAAGTATCAATTTTGTTTATCTTCTAAAGTGGAAATCTGAGCTATCCATATAATAATTGCGATCAGAGGATAGATGTCACTGAAATCAGATAGTTCGAAGATAATTCTGAGACGACAGAAACTCAGATATGTCCTTTTGTTAGTTTGCTTTAATTTGTTAGATTCTCACTGAGGGATATATATGATCTGATATTTCTTAACTAAAGATATACATTGACATGCAATTTGTTTACATTAAATAATTATATTTTCTATTAGTTCTAGCTTTTTGTTACTATGAACTTAACTAAATTTTTCTTGGGGTGAACCTCAATATTTTTGACTCATGTGGTGAAAAACGCTTCACTTTGAATAATTAATCAAAAGTAATCCATAATTTCATAATAAAAAGAATGGTTACTTGTAGCATTTTATTTGATATCTTTTTTTTTGCTCCTATATTAAAGTAACCATTCGCTAAAAAGAATCACTCAAAAACTATTTTTAGAATTAGATAGCTTGTTATATCTGTCCTGAAGACTTGCACTAAATATCTATTGGTGGATTCATTTCAGCCAATGCAAAACGAAGGAAGACAAAACTTTGCCTGTTTTATACACAAATCAAATAATTTTACTGAGGAAAATATTTAGAGTTGTACAGTATGATGTTACATGTAAGGTATATTTTTCTTATTTCCAAGAGAGAAGAAAAGGAAGTACATTTTTAATTCCTGTGAGTTAATAAAAATCGAAGTCTTTTAGAAAAAATGCAACCTCAAGTTCGAGATGATCAACGTCAAATCAAAAGCATAGTAAGTGATACTTGTATTGACAATCTTATCTAAATTTTCGTTTGCTATATTTCTCTACAAGGCTTTTTCTAAATGCAGTATTATACTGGTCAGCATTTTTTTTCGACAAATATGATGTAATATTCTATTTTATGTCACTGATACAGTTGAAAACATTCACGACCGTCATTATCTTGTGCACGAGATTTACCATATATCAAACTGATAACAATCTTTAGCCAATACTACTTTCGTACAGCGTTTGAATAAATTATAAATAATGAATTATACAAGGTCATTAAGAAATTGTGATTTTCAATAAAAGTTGTCGATTTTTAGACGATTTTCACCACATGAGGAAATATATATGTATGTTTCATTTATCTCTAAGAACATCATCTATCAAATAGATAATATTGAAGATTGTAAAGGAAATACTGAATTTCAATCAAAGGAACTTATTAATTTACAAACAACAAAGAGCAATGATTTCTATGAAAATATTTATCCCATGCAGCATTTACTCCATATGTCTCTTTTTTTCTGCTCAATTTCATTACAATCTTATAATTTCATCGATTTGAGATAAAAAACAATCAAAGAAAAGAGAAATATCTAAATATTTACACTATGCATCAATTTGGTTAGTGAAGGAATAGAAAATGGTTAGAGATATGAAGAAACAAAAGGGGGACAATAAAACTGAAGGATGGTTGTTATCAGTATTAGTCGTAAACTGTGTCTAAAGAACACGATAAATAATGCATGTTAAAGAGCATTATTCACTAAATGACTAGGCTATAAAAGATATTCAAGCTTTCAACAAGAACAAAGCAAGTAAGATTCCTCGATAGTCTATGCAAGAAGTCAGTAACAAAAAAATTGAAGTTGAAATAAAACTTAAGTAAAGTATTTTGACAACAATTGACAAGCATGCATTACTTTTTTCTCGTCAAAAAATCTCTTTCAATGAATTAAGAATATGATAAATCTAATGTTTAAGTATGAGTCACTAATAATTCTGTTAAGAATTTAATAAAAAAAGGAATTATATGATTAATTGTCACAGAGAAAAATTTTACCCAGTTCTGACTTCAGCATCATCTTATCTATAACTTTTCCAATTTGTTCAAGATATTTTCTAATCAAGATAAACTTTATTTTATTCATTTTAACTTGTCATGTTTGTTATACAGCTATTTCTTTCTTACCCAATATTCAAATACACTCTGCTCACCAGTAGGCATTTCGAGAAAAGATCTATTTAAACAATATATTTGTGAGCGTGATGCCACAAAATTTTTGTCTGTATGTTAGCAGGCTTTTGTTTCGTAAAAAGACGCTTTTACTGAAAATACAAATACAAATATTCATTTAACGTGTATGTGAAAGAACTCATTTTTTTCCCAAAAACACATTATAAATGCTGTGTTTTAAAGCTTTTTTAAAAAGTTCTTTGCTTTCGATAAAGGAATACTAAAAAACCGCGTTTGAATCCATGTAAAATATAGGCGTCAAACACATAAAAGCAAACGTATTCGATCGGTGTTATAACTAAATAATAATGACAGTAGAGGAAAAAGAAGTTCTCTCATGAACACGTTCAACGGATATTTTTAGATGACGTTTCAAGCTGATAGAACGTGTTGTAAATAAAAAAAAGATGTGTATAAGCAACGTGAAATAAAAATCGATGCGTCTATATACAAATATAACTTTTTTCCTAAAAACTTGATGTTGCAACACGGTTTTGAACAAATTTCTTTTTCATAGATAATTTATCGAATTGAACAAAGAACTCGACGATTATCAAGAGGAAAAAACTTTGGTCTTGGTTGTGAACAGGATCCTCATGTACATCCAGTCGAAACGGAAGCAAAATGTAGAAGATCACATTATTATCGAGATCAAGATCGACTAAATTATCAGGATTGAAATACAGTAAGCTAACGTTTTTTTCAAATTTCAATTAAATCTCTCGCGAGATTTTAGAAACGATGCACGGAAACAGAACTTTGCGTGAAAAATACATCGCTGTCCATGCATGAGACTACGTAGTAGCCAATCATCCTGCCATGGTAAGCAATACGTATACGAATGAATTCTTACTCAAAATGATGATATTCGAACTGAATTGAAAGATGAATAGATTTAATTTGAAATAGCGATCCCAAAGCATGAATTACGAGATGCAGAATATATGGAAACATTAACATGATCAACAATTTCAATATACATCGGTTAGCAATTGAATGTACGACACATCCAACGGCTTGCCATTGTTACAATAGAAACCAGTCAATACGAAATAGTTATCACGATTGATTTGATTCATATAAATCATCAAGGCCATCGATGACAATATTCTGTTTATTTTTATTTTCAGTCTCATCAGTCAATGCTCGCTTTGATGCTGTTATCATTCGCTGCTCTATTGATTTTGATCTTACCGTGTAGCACTTAACCTACTGCGCGAAGTCTTTGTCCGAAATGTTTGCTCGATTGTTAATCATTCAAACACAACTATTGAAAATCAATAGTAACTACATAGATATAATCAGAATTTTATATTCTTTCGGAAAATATATTCAGTATGTTTCTCTGACTTAATATTGGTTAGTAGCATGCAGATACTTGACATTCAGTTGAAAATTAGCTTTGTACAGAATTTTTTCTTTTGGATATTTTTTTGGTTTTGGTTAAGACCTGCTCAATATAAGCCATTAGGATTCTTTCCATATTTCAGTTTTGTAGAGTGAAGCAAAAAGCATGAAGTTTGCTACACTCGAAAAGGAAGATTTCGAAAACCGAATTGTTTTATTCGAAAGAGGACGAAATTCAAATTCTAACCAATTACTTTTGATTCTTACTAGTTATATTTTAATTGCCTGATTATGAACAAAGATTTTGTACTGTGACTTTTGTAGGGTATAGGTATGGATGTTAGGGTGAATTTGAGTGTGGCTATAGATATAAATACAATTAGATATACGTGTTGAACCTAACACCCATACCCATCCGACGAATCTAACGTTTGTTGTAGGCACTATATTATTACATGAAATCGTATTTATATTCTAGAATTTCACCATAGGAACATATTCATAAAAAAATAAACACAAAATCATGACCATTGGCAAGTATCTTGCGACTCGTTTTACTACTCTCGTACCACCGATGGTTGTACCTGAGAACCCGATCAAACTTCTTTCCATGCTAAATCGACATCAAACTGCATTTTTTTTCGTCGCTTTTTTGGCATGGACAATGGATGCACTCGATTTTTTCTCAGTCACGCTCAATATCATCGAAATTGCTAAAACCTATGATAGAAAGGTGTCGGACATTACTTGGGGTATAACTGTAACCCTAATGCTTCGTTCTATTGGTGCGATTATTTTTGGTATTGCGGGTGATCGTTTTGGTCGTAAATGGCCATTCATTGTCAATATTATTTTATATTCAACAATCGAGATTATCACGGGTTTCTGTACAACATTCGTACAATTCATTAGTATCCGAGCTCTGTTTGGTATAGCTATGGGTGGTATCTATGGCAATTGTGCCGCTACAGCTCTTGAAGATGCTCCAGTTGCTGCACGTGGCCTTCTGTCAGGTTTACTGCAACAAGGCTATGCATTTGGCTATCTGCTTGCTGCGGCCCTGAATTTGGGCATCACCAAAAATCAACCTTACGGTTGGCGAGCACTATTCTGGTTAGCAGGCTTTCTTCCATTGCTGGTTGCTCTTTGGCGTGTTTTCTTACCTGAAACACAAGCATTCCTCCGTGTGAAACAAGAGCGTGAAGCTGCTCGACTCGCACGTAATTCTATCTGATTTCAGTAAACTTTAATGATATTTTTTTCAATATTTAGATGGAACTGACATGCAAGTTTCGGCAGTTCAAGTATTCATCAAATCAATTCGTCCAACACTTGCTCATTATTGGGCAACGCTAATCTATCTTGTATTAATGATGGCGGGATTCAATTTCTTGGCTCATGGTTCTCAAGATTTATATCCAACATTTCTTACTTCTCAGGTCCAATTCTCACCGGGCTATGTCACTGCTACTACAATGATTTCAAGTTGTGGGGCTCTCGTCGGTGGAACACTAATTGGATACTTTTCAAGTTTCTTCGGTCGACGATTGTCTATCCTTGCTGTTCTAGTTGTCGGTGCTGCTCTTATTCCGGCTTATCTTCTTCCACGAGATAGGACCATTATGATAGGTGCATTCTTTGAACAAATGTGTGTACAAGGTGCTTGGGGCGTCGTACCTATACATCTCATGGAACTCACACCATCACAATTTCGTTCATTTGCGGTCGGTACTTCTTATCAACTAGGTAATTTAATTTCTTCAGCCTCGGCAACTATCGAAGCTACTGCTGGACAATATTTTCCTCTGCCGAACACGAAGACATCGAGCGATAAACATCAATTTGATTATGGAAAAGTGATGGCTATTTTCTTAGCTTTTACTTACACATTTTTGTTCATCATCATTTTACTTGGACCTGAAAAGAGAAATGCTCATGACGCTGAAAAGACTGATACCAAGCAAAGTGCACAACTTCATGAAACACAACTGAAATTACTATCACCATCCGAATCAACAGCAAAATATGTGACGGAATAACATTGCATCACGGCAACAAGAAATAAATTGACACTGACTATTTTTTCTTCATACTAAACTATTAACACTTGAGATGATTTTAGAAATAGATATCTTCAACTAAAGTAGAGTGTCTCTAGATTTTTGATATTGTTCAGGTTAAGTACAACCAGCTGGTAGGTGTTTGCTATGAATATGATTTCAACGATCATAGTAAAACGAATTATTCCATTATGTATCTTCAAGTAGAACATCTTCTATTAATCGCATTTTTACACTCCAATATTCGATAGATGTGAACTAGGTCTGTGACAGCTCACCCAGCTCATGAGCTGGGTGAGCTGTCACATACCTAATGTGAACAACTCTGTTGAACATTGAACAGTCATTATTATCAGAACATATTTCAACATTTAATAAGTGGGATAAAATGAATTGATCAGTTGGGTATCAAACCAACAGTTAGATATCAAACGTCTGATACCTCTAGTAACATGATCGGTTGAAAAAAAGTAAAAACATGTAAACTGAATTCGCATCATGGAGAGGGCATCTACTTCCATCATACGATATGTAACAGAGATTCAACCAGACAGACATTTTGTAGGCCTGGTAAGGTCTGTCTATTTTTTTTTTAGCCAAGATAATTATAATAATATGATATAATTAAGTATTAGTCTTCATAGAAAGTTCAGTAAGTCAATGGGATCAATTTAGATGGCACAAGTAAAAATTTTCTGATGTGAACATTCAAGAAAATACTTAAATGCTTTTACTATACAGAAGTGATTCTATTTTATCTGTGAACCAGAGGATATAATAAAAGGAGTCAAAAAATAACGTTGATCTCACGAAACTTTCTTCTAGTTGTTCGAAGTCAGAAAAAACATCCATATTTCATAATCAGGAGACTTTCATTAAGAAATTAATGAGATTTTCACATTGTGGAGACATGGATGATGTAAAGTATTACTCTACATTAAATATGAAGTGAAAAGTATTAGTGTTGAGGAAAATAAAAAAATAGATACACATTAATATTGAGAGAAACAATCTGTTTTTCTTGAAAAATATTTTTTGAAAAATCTGACAGATAAAACAGTCACTCATAGTGTTATAAGTGAAAGAGAAGCCAGGTGTAGTAACTATTAAACCTAAAATAGAAATAGACCGTTCAACTTCAGCTAAATTAACTGGAGTTTACAAAATGACCCATAACAAGTAATGATAAACGTGGAAAAGATGCAAGGGGGAAAAAACAGATTCCGTCTATTCGGGATACGGTGACAATCCACACAATCCAGATGATACGATTACGATACAGCCAATACTCTTCCGATACGTACGATACGCACGATACGTTGCAGATACCAAGGATACGAGTTCATTCAGTTGAGAAATTTAGAGTATGTAGGATAGATTTAATGCGACTATAGCGAGTCGGTGCTGATGAAGAATTTCAGTAAATTTCAAAGAGTTTGCTATGTGGTTTGTCATTTATCCAACCATGAACACATCGTTTTATGGGGCGAAATAGATTTAATAATATAAGATACATAACAATTCTAATAATATAGCATCAAATAAATCTACATATTGAAGGCTCATTCACTCTGTGCAAAATAATTGACAGGTTCAACAGTTCTATGAGCCAGCTCACATCACTAAAGACTGAACTTATTCTCAATCGAATTCTTAGGCTTTGTCAATTTGAAAATACTTCCAGAAAATAATTTTAAGAATGACGATGCAACAACTACTAAAAAATATCATTCTATACTTGAGGTATTCAAATCCTTTTAGAACGAAACTGTAAAAGCGATATTTTTATGTTTATGTCTACATGCATATCTCAACAAAAATGCATGTTTAACTCGAAATGTTCCATATACATTTCAAGCTGATATGTTTATCGTACAATGATGAGTTTAGATGAATGACAACTAGATAAATTGATCAGTACTACCAGATATACAAGGAAATGATCATTTTTTAGGTGTTTTATGGATACATATGTCTGGTAATTCGATCACGTGACAGACGTGAAATTGCAGTCATAAAAAGGGTGTGGGTGGGTGTAGGTGTGGGTGTGGGTGTGGGTGTGGGCGTGGGTGTGGGAGGGTGTGGGGTGTGGGTGTGGGTGGGTGGGGGTGGGGGTGGGTGTGGATGTGAGTGTGTGTGTGGGTGTAGGTGTGGGTCTGGTTATGGAGTGTGAGTGTGGGTCTGGTTGTGTGTTTGTCGCTGTTCACTTCATCCAGACGTAACCTACTTGTAAAAGGTCTCGGTACAAAAAGTTTTCTTTATTCTGTTTATCGTGCTTTGATATTTTCTATGAATTTTTATACAAGGTTATAGTCTATTATCGGTGTATTCATTATGTGTAGAAATGTTGTGTATGAGATGATTTTATTTGAATGCAGAAGCTTTACGAAAGATAGTCTTGAAAACCTGTTTGTACAAGGAAAGTAGCAACAGAACTCTTTAGAAACATACAGGATAGAGCCAATTTTATTGACAAATACAAGCACCCAGATATAATAACTTATGGTCATCAAGAGGCACAGCTTACTGTGTTTTCTAAGACAAACGATATTACGGCGAAATAATACGGTCCGCATTATTCGAATAGTCGAAAACTAACTTCTACTCATGAAACAACATACATTTTGTTCACAATATTCTTTATGCCTGCATATTATATAGTACTGTGAGGCTTGAAGGATGCACTTCGAACCCAGCCACTTCGGAATAAATGCTTAGACTTTTTAAACCAAAAACAAGGTTAAAATTATCTTTGTACCTAAAACTCACATCTTGAAAAATGACATTCGAGAAAATTTTCTACACTTTACAGCTATTATTTGTGAGATCCTTTTATATGAAACGACTAACCTGAAAGAGATGATCACATTAATATATGAAAACCCTAAGAAAGATTTTATTCGAAGGAGAAATTAGTCAAAGAAGCAATCATACTATACATATTTTTATACTTTTTTTGCTGACTTGTCCAAAGCAAAATTTTAAGGGTATCATTTATAAAATCTCTCTATCTCAAACTAATCATCTAACATGAAATATTTGTATATGAAATGAAAGTACGAAGAATAGGCTATAATATCCTATAAAATAGAAACATACATATCTAATCAAAGCAGAGAAAATGTTCAAAGAAATTTGTACCAAGACTTTTTACAAGTAGATTATACCCACGCCCACACCTCACACCCACATCTCACAACCAACACTCACGCTCCACCTACACCCACACCCACACCCACACCCACACCCACACCCACACCCACACCCACACTCACACCCACATTCACACCCCACTCACATCCACATCGACACCCACACCCACGCACACTCTCATTTACTTTCCTAAGACTAGATTAGATAGGATGTTGAATCGTGGCTTATTTGGTTTAAATAGACAAGGAAAAACAACTACAGCAACAATTCGTTCATCTATTTTTGAACTGATTTATTGCTGTTCTGATCCGTTTTAATCCTTCCTTTATCGATGAATCTTTGACTGTAAATACCAAACGAAACCAGCCCGGTTGTGGACACCCGAAACTATAGCCGCGCATCACAAACACACCACAGTCGAAGAGATGATCAAGGAGGCAGCTTTCTTCAAAGAATGTTATTTCTTTCATAAAAGGGCGAAAGTCAGCCCAGATAAAAAAGCCTGCATGACCAGCACGCACTCGAACTCCCATTGATTCTAATTCACGTTTGACTAGATTGCATTGCTGAGTAAGACGTAAACGATTGTGCTCGATATATGAGCAAACCCATGCACGATCGGCCAGTAGTGATGCCAATATACCTTGAATGTGACGTGAAGGCGTCAAGAGAAAATTGAATTCACTAGCAATGGAACACAATTCAGATGTGCCTGCGTACATGACACCTACATGAGCTCCGCTCAATGCGAAATCTTTGCTGAATGACCAAAGAAAATGAGTGCGGTCTGGATCGACTATGGCAAAAATGAGTGCGGTCTGGATCGACTATGGCAAAATTGAGCACTGATTCAAATGGCTTTTCATCACTAAATAGACTAAGTGAATAGATTTCGTCTATGACAACATGCATTTGTTTCTTAGCAGCAAATTCAAGCACCGGTCGAATAGTCATTTCGTCATAGACGTCACCTAGAGGATTCTGTGGATTGATGAGAATAATCATACGTGGTTGAAGACCGTTGGTAAGAGCTTCATCATATCCATGTTCAAAAATTTCAACTGAAAGGTAAAATTTTCCGGTGTCTTGCTCGAGCAATGGACACCGAACTATTTGAGTTTCAGTGAACACGGAAACATGGTGGTCAATCATGGTATAATATGGCGATGGTATGAGTATAGCATCTTTGGGATCCGTTAGAAGGTAACTATATACAAGAAATCCTCCAGAGGCTCCACCTGTTATAATCATTCGATCAGGTGTGAGCTGTTGTTTGGTGATTCAAAAATTTTCCTGAAAAAATCGGCATAATTCTTGACGAAGTGAAAGCTCGCCTATTGGATGTCCGTAATAGTTCATTGATGGCGACCATCCTTGGACTGCATTGAGCTTTTGAACGAGTTCCGTTTCACACAGCTCATTTTCTGCGACACCCAAATTGCAAACACCCATCGTGTTATTATTTTCATCGTATAGATTTAGCAGCATGCGCATATAATTTGGAAACAAATGTGCTTTAGCTCCATTGAGATCCCGAGCTCTTGAAGAAAATACGTCATTCGACGCCATCTGTTCTATGTTAAATAAGAAGAAAACAAAGGCTGCAATTACATAAAAAAAGCAGGGTGTGGACTGGGAATGGAGGTGGGTGTGAGGTATTGATAAGCATGTGCTTACTCTCTTCAATCGAATTCTACTTCCATATACATTGCTACACTCTTATTCAATGGGTGTGCTTCATCACTGGCAGACCTGCTTTAGTTAACTATTTATGGTCAAAATCAAGTTTCCATCCACTGTCGTTGGAGAAAGACTAAACGTGCTTTTAGAAACGGAGAAAACAACACCTGAAAGACATGAATGAACGATGAATATAATGATGTACAAAGGAGCAGGCAACAGTGAGAGGTGTTACTTAAAACGTCGTTTGTTGAATCGAAGTACAAATTAGCAGGAGATCACTTTTGACCTCAATTAGTTGATTCTGATGAGTCTTGCAACTTTTTATGCTTTGAATATTATTAAGGCTCGCCATACTTATCTAGACCGAATCTTCAATTAACAAAGCTTATAAAATAATTTACCTGTTTCTTTGGTGTTTTAGAACACAAATTCTGGAAGTTGTAGCTGATTATAACGGGTGGCCCATAAAGAATGGCGGTGTCAGTATTTCGTGAATATCTCCCTCAATTTTCATTGCCCAGGCTTCAACCTTTATATAAAAGACGCGCCATTCAATTCTCTACAAAATTATATGAAAAGAAACTCTTCCGATGAATAGCTGAGAAATCATATCTGGTCAACACTGCAATGCTCCAAAGAAGCCTACTTTCAAATCACTGTTTTTCGTTTTTACAATGTTGCGTCGCTCTTTGACCAGATTTTAAAAAACCTGAATACGCCACTTTGTAGCATATGAGAAGCTCTATCAGTCAAGAGAATCATTTTTTTGACATACTCTGAATGCGTCTCAACAAAACCTTTCTTTGTTCACCTAATTCTTGTTTTGAGGATTGCTAATTTAAGCTCACCGCAATTTTGATTTTGTTACATCAAGTTTCAAATCAAGACATATTCAGATTTACTGCCAAATTGAAGGAAAATGTTTTGTC